AGCCCTTCAATTGTCTGCAATGCCGACGTAAAATATTATTTTTCGATCTTGTAACAAATATTAGTAAGGTTTAGAATGAGGAAAATGATATAGAAGTTTTCTCATCAAACAATTGGTGCCCTTAGTAGAGCTGGTGTGTTGCGCTGATAGCGGTTATGCTATACGATATAGATAATCTGTCAGAGAAAGCCGATTGCCTCGTCTTACTGTTGCGTCCATAGATTCATAGAAATGTGCAACTCAATTTCCGTAATATCACGTCTCTTTTCGCAAAAGCTATCACATGTTCTTTTCAGTCTTGAAACTTACCATAAAGTTAATGGGGATTCCAGCCACGCATTTAATGTTTTAGTGCCAATGCTGATAGACACAGATGCCTCCCTTACGGCACTTTTCTCCGTTATCTGGACCTAAACGAGCCCTATCTTCCTATTACCACACGCTGTGGGATGTGCAGACATTAGCTTATACGGTTTCTGGCTTGCGTCCATGTCTGTCTGTATCTGTATAGCCTTTAAAAGCGACATAACACACCAGCTTCGCAGGCACACTGCGCGGCGGCAGCTAGCTATATTACATCGAACGACTTGTTACACCTAACCCTTGAACATCTAACTCTTAACATCGTTTAGAGCTATCTAATGATAATGCCCCTACAGTACTTGGTGACAGCGAGTTCCACTCTGCGATAGTTCTTGGAAAGAATGAATTTTTGAACACCTCAATCCTTGGTTGATAACTCTGGTACTTGAAGGTTTGCCAGCGTCTTGCCCGTGATCTTTTATTCTGAAACTGCTGCTTAAGCTTGATGAGGTCTTTGGGACATGGCGTCCAGTGGCTAGGCTTGTGGGCACGGGATCAAGAAGTCTAATCTCCAAGCAGATCTTTCTTTTGGTGACTGCAAGACAGTATCAAATTGGCCAGGCAGTATCCATTTGCCAGGCAGTTACCATTTGCCCTGCGAATTTGGTTGGCATACAAAAAGGTGCTAGTGCAAACAAGAAAGCCTGATGCATCGATGAAAATGCCAGGTCTAAAAATGGCTTTTGTTGGCGAGACTTCTCCTCTTATATTTAGTTTTGAATTAGCAGGATATAATAAAGGGGTGAGTATAATTATATAGCCTAAATGTTACTATTTTCACACACGTGCTCAATGCTCATCTAAAAGGTAAAGGCTGACCGAAATAGCACAAGTTTAGACAACAGAAACACAGCATACAAGAAGTAAGGTGCAGTATTTGGGTCACCAGGTGCAGACGAGGGTGTGTCGGGAAAGGTGTAACCCGATCTGCTCTCATGCCCAGGAAGCCTCCGCTGATTGGCCAATATTTCGCGCGCCTCCCTCTGACAGAATTCAAACAGCTGTACATGTGAGGGGTCGACGAACTGTTTGAAAGGAAAGACAAACCTTCTGACAGTGCCTTGAAAAACACAGAAAACACTCATATTAAATGGTTCAAGATTACAAACGTGTTGTTTAATTACTGGCACACTAAACTGTTATATGAATTATGACATTACACAGACGAAAGGGCCAGTAAATACTAAGCAGACAGAAATGACTAATGAACTTCATCATGTAATCAGGAAGGTCATCAGATCATTGAACGGCAATTTAATCTTACGGAGACGATATCTAACATCATCTAACATCCGCCGATGCTGCGTTCTATCATGAAAAAGCACTTTGCGGTGGGGTAATAGGGGTGGCATTAGCATTAAATGAGTAATTCACCATAATGCAGGGTGCATGCAGACAGCATGCGATGCAGTAAAGACCGTTTTATGCGTTCTAGCAGATAAGAAAGTAATTAGTATTGGGACAAATTTTAAAACGAATCACGGCGACAGTAACCGTTGCAGACACCCGGGCTCCAGGGAGCGCGGGACCCGGTTCTTAATTAAGACACATGTTCCACTTGGGGGCCACTTATTGTAACGGCCGTCGTCAATCAGACATGCTGCAATGCCGCATTGCCGCTTGGTTTAAATGAGATTAATGATGGAAATTATTTCCACTGGTTAAGCATAAAACTGCTCTCTCTAACAGACGGTACCGTTGGTGTGTATATATGGCATCAGGCTGGTTGAGGAATAAGTGTGTTTTAATATCCAGTATGGCATGGAAGCACATTTGATCCAGTATGGTTTAACATGGAAGCAAATTTTCGATGCATTTGGGTACTAATACTAATACATCTGACGGTGGAACTATTCTTTTAAAATTACAAATATGATAGGCTTTATTAAAGATATTTGATATTTAAGTAGGAAATTTCAGAAGTTTAATGGTCTACATTTTCAGAATGGACTTAGATGCATTTTTAATGGTGACTTTTACTTTTTGTACTCAGCATGGTAATTCAAATTTCGGGTTAAAAGGTGGCTGTGAGACGACATTGTCACCGTTTTGGTTGGGTGAACGTTAGTGGAACCATTTGCAGAGTGAAAGAAAATTTACATCAGGACTCATAAATCCTCACTGGACCGTGTCGGAGACGATATCGACTTTAGACAGCATTTAACCCTGAAGTCACAAGTGTTTAAAATGGAACTGGGCCATTCATATCAAAGTCACATTGGCGCCTATAAAAGGCTTCTAGTTTTTTTGTTGCGAACTTTGTTTTTCCCACCCTCGCCACTCATAACCCGTGTAAAGAATTATGCAGACGTGAAGCCACTTATGCTTAAACGTAGGTCAGTAACTCTATAAGCTCCTGCCCTTTTTTGTTTGCGATTTTATCTTCCAGACAGTTGGATACTTTGGTACACTTGATGGTTACTTATTTATTCTTTATATTCCTGGTGAGCCATTTTTCTTTCCGTCTGGGCCTGTTCTTGGCACAATTCCTATTCTGAACGCCAGGATAATCCTATGGACGCCACGTTGTCCGTCACAGTTGTTCTCTATGTGTTTTTAGACCTGCCTCTTTTTTTTCTTTTTCCAAACGGTCTCCAGTTTAGGCTGTCTTGGGTCTTCTTGAGTCATCAATTCTTAGTGCATGGTCAAGAAGCCATTTCAGTCTTTTCGTATCGATTTTTGTGGATGGTCTATGCAGCACGCAAAGTTACCAACACAAAGACGCTCAGCACAAATGCGTATTCAAAATGTAACCCACATTTATTAGAACTGTACACCCCGATCACATAGTACAAGACCTATCCATGTTAATATGTCTATCCATTACATCTATTAGGAGGACTTCCAGTCAAGGATATAAGGGGTTCCTCCTACCCCTGACTCGTGTATGGCGGGTGCGTCATGCCCGAACAGGTCTAGACCTGCCACTGCCAGAACAACTAGCCTCTACCAGGCTTCGGGAGACAGACGGAAAGAGTAGAAATGTCAAATTATTAGAGAGATAACATACCGAGGGATTTTTGCCGCACCAAATGTGCTCTCTAGCGGACCCTGGTATGTCATCTCTCTATTTGACTGATTTCTAGTCGTCTCCCGAAGCCTGGTAGAGGTAAAGAACAACAACAACAACATCCCTCTGGACCTCTGTCCTTCTTGGAAATAAATAAATGATTTGTCTTTCTTACACGCACGTTGCTATCCAATTTTAACCTTGTATCGTTTTAATGTTTCTGTTTGGTGCATCTATTTCTAACATTGTGTCAAATATCTTTCAATACTAAGGACCATTTTACGTGGATGTACAGTAGATATGTACAGATGCTAAGTAAGATTACGCAATACAAAATATATTAGAAATTTCAGATAGCATCCAAATACGTCCATCTGTGACTGAGTAGCTGAAACTTCTGACACTTCAGGGAATTTACCCAGTTGCTTGATTTATTTTGTACTGCGTAAAAATCTACATGTCTAATCTTATATCGATTCAGTAAGGGGAATTTGGTAGTCCGTACCCACATTACCGTTAAAATTTTTGATTTAGATAGAAGGTTTATCTACAATACGTTTCGTACTTAACGCCTTCTGTTGTTTTAGCTGATACAGCTAGTCATTTATCGTTCAGACGCATAGGAAAGGAGCGTACAATGTTGAGTTGTAAATGCTGTAAAATTCCCCAGTCTACCTACTAGTCTACATGTAACGTGTTAAGTTTAAGGCCACATCCTACACACCAATGTGTTTTTATCTTATTTTCTGTAATACTGTGTTGACCTTATGGTTCACTACTTGTTAAACCTAAAATATTTATTTCTCTTATTAATTTATTAAGTTCTCAGTTCTTTGTCAAGATCACCTTCTCAAAGTCGCCATACTGACAAAATCACCAATGCACATCAAAGTTTCAATAAACATTGCTAAAAGTAATTAAATGTTAGTCTCCACCAGACTTCTTTTGCAGACTGAATAAATCGTAGAAATCGTCCGGCCATCGACGATCAAAAACTTGCAGGCCAATTTGATTGTCGATGGCCGGCTACCTTCTCTCGCCAATTAATGCCCTTTTTAGGACGATTTCTACGATTTTTTCAGCCTGCAAAAGAAGTCTGGTGGAGACTAATTAAATATTATCTTGCGTCAAATTCTTCACAAGCTGCATATTTACAAGTTGCAGCAACATGTGGGAGAATTTCTAGTACTGAGATTTTATAGATCAATGTACAGTAGTTGTATAGTTTAATTGGTGACCGCGTAGTATTAGTCATTTTGTACATCTTTTACAACTATACAGACCTTAAGTTATTAATGATTGTCAACATATCCGAATATCTCGTCTAGTAAATTACACTGCAACACACGTTGGATGAACCAATAGTAGGAAATGCAAATAAAGTCGGGTAAGGCCACACCAATTTAATTTGTTAGAATGCAGTGGTTTGACTACAAGTTCAAAATTCATTGTTTAAATAATAATCTTTAATAGACTTTTGTGTTGACTTCATGGCTCCTGTCATAGCATTTAGGGCTATATTAGGAAGCCTAACCCTGTTTTTATTTTTATTTTTTTCGCCCTGTCGCTTCATATTTTATCTGAAAAAAATCCGAGAACCAACAAATTAAAGTGGCGTGGCCTAATGTTCACTTTGTAAACAACAACGTTAGCAGAAAGTCAAGTCCCGTTTACTACCATTGTTAAGTCCGGCATTACCCGATTTTACTGGGATTCACTACCATTGGTAACTACAACTTTTTGTGTGGCATGAAGTCTAAAACATATTTACATCATCCCGTATTTTTGTCTCTTTACAAGTTGAAATGCGGCACTTGGGAGAACAGACAGACGCTGGTCAGGCAGGTGGCGACGGCGAAAAGCAGCATCAGGAATCTGTCTATGACCTTCGCGACCTTTTTCCACTCGTCCTCGATCCCAGTCTGGATATCAGTCCTCTGGAATCTCGCGTTGATCGTGCGGATCTCCTTGTGGATCTCTCTCATAGACAGGAGGAGCGAGGTGTACAGTCCGTTCTCGCCTGGAGAGTTTCCAGTTTTGTTCTTGTTCTTGGTGACCACCTCTGTTTCGGTGTTGCCATGCCCGTTGTCCAAGTTGCTCATGGTGAACATGTTGATGGTCTTCTCGATGTTCCAGGGGTGGTGGTGCTCCTCCTCCCAGTGGGAAGACACGCTGGTCATGCAGACAAGTCTCGCGAGAAGTCTCAGCACGAGAAAGCGGATCACGTGGGGCACCGGCGTGGTGTGAGCTGCGCAGTGGTGGATATTCAGCACGGCGATGGTCATGGCCGTTGCCAGGGTAACCAGCAGCATCGTCACGCTGTAGTATACAACTGGGAGGAAAGGGGAAAAATGACTGATAGGACCCACTAATTTTGACTGTTTAATTAATAGTATGAAATAAAATGACGACTGTAACATATTACTTATTTTATTTTGTGCAAGTTTGTAAAGCTTTTGACTTGCATCCACATACTATTGCCCTATAGTGTTTTCTAGATGTCAAAAGTATGTCCAGCTTTGTACATTTTGATAGCATTTTTATGTTTTTGGTAAATATTTTCATGAATGGAGGCGTTGATTCGGATCCCACTTCTGACACCATTTTGTAATCTTTTCCTCGAAGATAGATTGGAATGGAAGCTGGGAACTGATTTTGCTACTAGTTCATTCCAGAGAATGGCTCGCACAAGTGTTGTTGAGCAAATAATATGTGCTACTAATAGTCTAGTACAAAAGTTTAGAGGGGTTTAATCTTGGTTATCATTAATGGTAATAAAACAGTTGCCAGTGCTCACCGATGAGTGGCACAGTCCGTGACGTAGGCGGCATCCACTCCGACACCATCAGCAGGAACACTGAGTACGAGAGCAGGATGGTGATCCCCAGCCCCACTCGTTCCCCGGAATCGGACGGCAGGTAGAACCCGAAGATGACGAGGAAGGACAGCAGACAGCAGGGGGCCAGCAGGTTGGTGACGTAAAACAGGGCCCTCCTCTGGATACGTATGGTATACGTCACTTCCGGGTACGGTTCTGGACAGCACTCGTAATACACAACGTCACGCTTGACGTAAATGTCCATCAGTTTCCACTCGTCATTGTTGACGTAATAAGATTTGCTCGGCGGCTCCGGTTCCTGGGTCAGGTCAATCTCGAAGCCACTGTGAGTCCAAGAGGCAAAGGTCAAAGTGCAGTTCTGTTCGTCAAACGGGAAGAAGTAGGTGTTGATGTAGCAGGCGCTGAAGTACATCCGGGTCACCAGCCAGGTGACCTCGCCGTTGTAGCTGACGATGACGTTGTTCTGGGGCTGGTCGTGGTTCTTCCCGGCACTGGAAGAAATGTTTGAAAAAATTAAGATGTTTAAATAATATGGTCCACAGGATTAAAGGAGACTAGAAGAGTACGAGCGATCGCTATTTCTGTGTGCACCAAAATACTTCTACATATGTTTGTGTATGTGTATAACTTAGTTATAAGTCTAAACAACCGATCCGACGTGTATAAGCAATTTCTGAATATACTGAATCAAGGGATGTTTTAGGTAACAAAATACTGATTTCTGATGAAGCGTATTTCCCAATTTTAACAAAAATTAAGACAAGTAGCTTCTATGAATGAATGTTAATTGCTCTATGGCTAATGACATGGGGGAAGCTCAAAATGCAACACAGTAACCTCTGACTGATAATGTGGTTTGAGTGGAAGAGGAGCACTGCCAAAGTACACAGTCAAGTAATTTACCTGTTAGTAAGGACGATGTCAGGCAGCCAGATCTCAGACGAAGGCAGGTTGATGTACTTCATGCCGTTGTACTCATCCGGGTCCCAGGTTAGAGCCTCGTCCCTCCAGTACTGCAGGGGAATTAGACAATTTTTACACTTAAGATAAACAGTTACTGTCAGTAGTGTCTTTGGGCTGATTCACTTAACCTAAAGAGCACGTTCCTGAGGCTTGTGAAATTTGTTTTTAATGATAGGCGAATTCCACAAAACGATGGTAGATAAAGATACAGAAATCTCTTTTAAGATACCATCACATTTTTTCCACAACCTGACAGATCTTACACACATTAAAACGTACTTTTATCCGTGAAATAACACGTACAGGAATATACTTCAAAGCACCACAGATAGATCTAATAGGTAAATTCTATCTATAGAGTAGGACCTATTTTAGAATGAGGTCAATCTATATCATGCAAAGCAACACAACCCAACAGAAGCTCAAACGACGACAACACAACACGACATGACAGTTGATGTAAATATAGAAGCACGGGCAAAAACGTGTTTAGAATTATGACAGATACCATGAGTCACAGAAGTGGTAGAATCGCCAATTCTACTGGTGGAGATCCCAATTGATTGGAGTCTGTGATTTTTGTAAGATCTGTGATTTCATGATTAGTGAATGGGAAACCACTCTAACACAATAAGACCATCCTATCTTTTGACAAGTACTCCAATTGGGATCTCCACCGGTAGAGTCTGTTTCTACCCTGACAAATATATGAGACAAAACAGTCTTGACATGCTCGTTACAGCACCTCTTACCTTTCTCATCCAAACATTACTGGAGAGGATTTGATGCTTTTCGTCCTGAAAACAGGAGAAGGTTTTGATGATCACCCTTTGGTTCATACTAATAGATGTAAAGAAGAGGAGTTGGCTGTGTTTCCCTTTTACTGGTGTGGTCTACGATTCGTATTTGAAACCATTCTTTTCATCATAATTTTGTGAAAGTTTTTGGAGAGAACAGCCAACTCCTCGAACCATGTTCTGTCTTTAATTACTTTGCCCAGTTTGCTTACCTGTCTTTGCCAAATATCGCTCGTTAAGATTTGATTCTTTTCGTCCTGAAATAGGAGACAAACGAAGGAACTGAGAGGGATTTAAAAATGATTTTGAAGCCAAATGATCTTTATGTTTCTTTACGTTTACCTACTCTAGTTTTTATAGAAGCAACATTTTCTGTTGCTTTGACAGGTAAGCGTCTACTTTTGCATAATACAATTCTACCTAATACACTAGCTTATAGTACATAGTTGTAAATACATGAATAAAACTGTTGTTAAATCGAATTCTTATCCTAGTACTTGTTTCATGCAAGTTTAGCTGATATAGCTGTGTACTACGATTGGCATAGAAAAATAGTATTAGTCTAGCTGTTGCCTAACTGGGTACGGCAAGTATATTCATGTAGAATCTATTGTCATTAAAATTTTCTCATTACACAAAATATCAAAGAACAACACGTTGTGTTAGATTAACTGGTAATAATGCATTGCCAACTGCTGCTACTCTAATACATAACACATGTTAGGCACAATTGTGAATTTTGTGCTCACCAAGTCGATGATTTGGCGGAAGTCCATGCCCATCTTCAGTGGCGTGGTGTGGGAGTGGTTCGCCACAGGACGGACTCCCTTCTGGTAATCCTTCAGGATGTCTATCTTCAGCTTCTTCCCGTCAAATATTCCCTGCACCCCTGAAACACAAGAGGCCATGAAATGTTATATTTTTTGTGCAAAAAAAGTTATCAGGTTCTTTCTGCATGAATCTTTAAGTGTGTGAAGTGCGCGTCAGTGTCACTGACGAAAGGTAGTGGATGCTACCTAAAACGTCCGACCGTTTCCAAAATCATATCCTGCTGCTTGAGTAAATGTTTTTTTGCAAATCTTGAATTTTATTGAAAATAAGGCGCCCGCACTGCATTGCAAGAACCTTCCTAATTTTCAGCATCTTACCATTAAACATCCCCATAGAACAGAAGTTGTCATGAAACGTTATTTGTTTTTGTGCACGGACGTTATCAGTTTCTTTCTCATTACAAATTTGACCCTACTCCTAACCCTACACCCCTGGAAAACCAGAGGTCATGAAATGATATACACAATGTATTTGTTTTGTGCACAAACAGTATCCGTTTCTTTTTACATGAATGTTGTAAGGTGTTTGAAATTGAAAATGAGGTGCCTGGAGCATATATTTTCCAATCTTCTGCTTCCCATCATCAAACGTTTCCTGTAACCTTGGTCTTGAAGATCAGACCAAGAAGCTCTGCACAAATGACAGATTGCGAATTGATAATTCTCTTTTAATCCTACTGATTCCTTCCGTCAAACGATCCATGCAACCCTGAACTCACCCCTGAGTACAAATAACGTTACATTTATTTCACAAGGTCACGAACTGTACCTGTAAGATCAGTACATTAATTAGAAAGTTTATTGCAAATACTTACCCGAGGGCTAATTGCAGTTACAAACAACATAAGAATGAAAATACAGTGGCATGTGAAACTATATCTACGTCTAGCATTATACTATATTCTACAACATGCATGGTACTAGATTTACTGGGTTTGACTTCGTCTTTTTAGGCAGTGGAAGACGAATTTACCCACTTCTTCTATAATATGTGGGTTCTTTGATTAACGGTTACGTGCATTATCATATTACAAGATAGATGAATTTGCTGATTCCTTTCTGATGCGTCAATATTACCAGCTTTAGTTCTAGATATTACGTTTCTAACATATTTTCTTTGAAAACCTCCTCTTATCCCCTTTCATCTATTTATCTTGAAAACAGTTCGGTGCGTGGTTCCTTCCGTGAAGCTAAAAGTGACCATTTATCTGATAAACAACTCCGGAAGACAAGAAGACGCTAACAGTCCCTAGAGCTTTCCCGTAAGATAACCGTATATGGTAATACACACAGATTGGCACAGCTACCACGTGTGTCCTTAATTGCAAAACAAAATCACGACATGATTTCTTTTATGTTCCTACTGAGTAATTAGTGGATAGAATAATGAGTAATTATCATCTACTCCTTTGATCTATCCATGTACTAATAAAATGTATGTAATACCGCCTTGATTTATTCAACGTAATGAATATAGTAATCATTGTGAATGTTTATAAGATTTTCACATGATATAAAGCCACACATTAAAGTCATTTTGTACTACAAGTACCTAATACATCTGACGACTAACGCATTTGGGCAGTTACTTTATTCCAAAGTGAGGGGGCAGTGCCGGGTTAATTGACACTAACTTCACATGGTCTGAATGCGTCAGAACCATTTTGGTAACAATGTAACAAACTAGGACACATCTCCATACGTCCCTGCAAGTCTTTCATCTGTCCTTGTCAACTCAACCCGCAGCTCAGCAAAGTCGACACGAACCAGCGAGTTTCAGTCGTTGCAGCGCACCATTGATTGATTGCCGTTCAATCGCCTTATGCATTGCCGGGCAAATGTTCCAGGAAGCTAAGTGGTGCAGTGATACTTAGGGCACCTAAAAGGCTCGGGCTGATACAATGGGTGTAGAGAGGGCACTGGTAACAATTATTAGTAAGTAGGACTGAGCGGTTGTAGGGTGCATTGAGTAAGCAATCTGCAACGTAATCTACTGTTGCTCAAATCTGCATCCAGGGACCTCTTACAATCTATATTGCAATCTAGTATAATTCATATTCTATATATCTACAACAAATTATTTGTCAGTCAGAATTGTCGTTGGGTGGATTGAGCAAGAAATCTGCAATGTAATCTACTGAATCTAATTCCTCAAATCTGCATCCGGCTTCTGTATCCAGGATATTATCCAGAACAGTGCTTGGGAACAATTATCTGACACGGTTCTTCCAGAAGATGTAAAAGGGTCACAGTCTCACAGATGATGGACTATAATTACACGGAAAGAAGCCTGTGAGCCCTGGGCCATGTCTTTATCAGTGGTAAGCCCTGACCTTGGAGCAAACGTCAGGAAATCCTCCAAAGTCGTTAACACTGTTTCCTGTCATTCCAATGTTGCTTAGCTTTAGAAGAGCAGGATGTACTTAAAGTAAAAATAAAATCTAGACCTGAATTAATCAACAAGTATGACCGCCACAGAGTTCATTCCAGCTTTACAGGCACGTGGCGGGGCTTATAATGCTCATATGGGCATAAATAGTTCTCACCTGAAAGAAGTCCCATTGAAACCACGATGAAGAGGACCTTAATCCACATTTGTGCCGTCACTGCGATGCCGCCTCCTGAAGTTGCTTAAATCACCTTCACTGCTAACGAAAAAACAACAAATATTGAAAATTATGGTTGAAGAGATTCATTTGTCACGTATAGATACAGTTCCTAGTGAATTCTTTCATCAGTGACAACTTTGGAAGGATAAGGATACTAACCTCCAAATTTTCGATGGCTATCAGTCCATCTTGTTCACGGAGTGGCCTAATCTCGCGAGAGCGC